GGGGGGGGGGGGGGGGGGGAGAGATAAGATAGCTGGGTAGATATGTGTCATAATCATGCATGTTATACTGCAGTATTGGGTTTTCATATATTCAAAATGCAGTTCCAGTTATTATGATAATTACATACTTTGTTCAAATTGCAATTTGTAAAAGAAATATTCTTAGACGATGACTGATCGTTGGTGCTTCCTACATTAAGACTTAAGAGAAGATGTTCTACGGGGTCATTTCTTAGCTGCTACTTGAATCTTATATACATTTTTGATTCATTATCTATTTTGGTGGCCAGGTTTTGCTTCTTATTTTAGGCTGATGTGGTTAATCATTTACTTAGAGTTTTATATGCTTACAGAGTAATCTCTTTTTCAATGCAGACTGACCTATTTACACAAGTAGTTGAAGAATGTAACAGCCATTTTCTTCACCTGAACTCTTTGGTGAGGTATATTTAATAGTTTTCTTGTGTTTTTCCAAGTTTTCTTTGTTTGTTATTCTGATTTTTCTGCGATCCTTATTGCTGAATAACCCATAACATGCTATTTGTTACAGTTAGGGGAGCTTCTTAGTGATTCTTGTATGTCTTTTTGTTGTAAATATTTTACAGAACAAGTACACCTGGTGTATTTGGTTAACTGGATATCCTGAACTCTGTACTATACTCCAAAATTACCTATTTTCTTATCCAGCTTGCCACTGCTCTAGGCCTTGAATGTAGTACTTCATCACTGCTCTATCGTATACTTTTCTTCTCCATAAAACTCTTGCTTTAATATCAAGATGGTCTCGTTGGAAGTTATCTCTTGCTTTGGCGCAGCAATTACATTTGTTTAGTTAACTCTCTTTAAACTCTTATAATGGTCTTTGTCTGTGTTTTTTTTCCCTTTAAGAATTCTCTACCCAATTTCCATCCCTCAAAACCATGCTGGGAATTCGATGGTAAGCACCTAAAAAATTTCAATTATACAATACAATAAAAATTCCTCGATAGGGTGCCATCTTTTTTGTAGTTTTTGTTTCTTTATTTCACATGAAAAATGTACAGAGAGCAATTAATAATCTCCCTTATTATCTCAACGAATGCAGGAAAAGAAATAAAAGGTTCTTTAACTTGTTGATGTTTCAAGTCCAAACTATCTAAGAACTAGAACTAAGAAGACCAACTAATGTGGAAGGAGAAAACACAGGGATTGGGTCTAAAGAATTAAAGAGGGAAAGTGGTAGGAAGAAAGTACTCTCTGTATCCCAGGTAAAATTTGCATCCTTTCCTTTATCGGTCTGTCCCAAGAAATTTAACCTCTTCCTTGAAGATCAAATGAAGATGGGTCGCTCTTCGAGAGAAATTTAAATGACAAACAAGAATTTAATTTATCCATCTTAACAATCCAGTTGATGGCCAAGCAATAAGAAGCATAAGATTAAGAGTTTGAATAAACAACTCAATTACCATCAACAATAAACAAAAAGAAGTAACTAAGAATCCAAACTGCACATCAAGATCCATTACAATCCTAGGAAAGAGGAATTAGTTCTAGCTAAAACAAAGAACATCCTAACAAAATCTTAAAGATGAAAAGATAAAAGAAAAAAAAAAGATGAAAGTAGAAGAGAAAATCAAGTTGAAATAGATCTAGCCCTCCTTTTGTCCTCCTGCAGCAACCATGTTCAGCCCTGAAAGGGTCTAATTATAGTTTTCATGTAAGAGCATGATTAAGAACCGGCATTTGTGTAATAGCAACTTGGGGCTGAGCTCCTATTTTTCTGATAGCACCTATGCTCTGTGGTCCAGCACCTAACCACCGAAGCCTTGAGGTTTGGTCCTGCTGGTGCCTAGGCACAAAGCTCTTTGAAGGTTTTTGTCTTATAGTGCCTAGGTGCTATGTTAGTTCTTTCTGAAGCTTTCTACTTTGCTTCCTCTGGGCTAACTAAGTATTGAGCATTAGGTGCTTGTCCTCCTAGCTTCTTGTACATTCCATTAAATTGGCTACATCTTGCTGTAGGGGTATCCAAATGACGAACTGCTCGACTTGTTGTACACTAACTTCAAGGCTATAATTCAACCAAATATCACACCCTAACTTATTACCTCCTCCGTCCCATTTTATGTGGCGGTGTTGGACTCGGTTACTGAAACTGAATCAAAATCCAGCATGTTGACTGTGTATTTCAAGACAAAAGTTATTCTTTTCTCGTCTGCAGATATGTCAAAGTAATTAGAAGAGACAATTGAAATACCTGAAAAAAAGAGTAAATCTCAAGTACTTAATTTTATCTGCATGAAGTCTACTTATCACTATTAGAGGTTTCATGATATTATGCATATGTGTATTCTTCTCCAAGTGCTAAATGGAGTACAGTTTTGTTGTCCCTGATCTTATCCATCTTGAGTTTGGCACAGGAAAATGAACTCAAAAACTCCCGCTGAAAGTTCAAATGCAAACCGACCAACTCAAAATGATGGAATTTCAAACAACGAATCACCTGATGAAAATGAGCCACCTGAGGCTGATACAAGTGCAAATGCTGAGCTACCCAAAGATGATAATTACCATGGGCTGCTTATCCATCATCAGTCTCTCATTCGCAACAAACGCTGTCTGATGGCTTATGTGTGAGGAACAATTAGATACGGGGTTGTCCTTGAAAAAAGGTCATATATTCCTGATTTTTCCTGCATCTCTTATGTTGTTTGTCAACTTTCCTTCCTGTTCCTCAGATATAATCGAGCAGAAGTCATTCGAAGATTGGGGTGGACCCTTGAGCGAGTCCTCCCAGAAGAAATTGAAGAGAAGCTAAGTACCTCAGAGAAAGAATATTTTAAGAATCATGCTGCAACTATCCAATCGTACATGTCAGCACTTGATCTTGATCTAGGGGTGGTAAAGTGTTCTTTTCTCACAAACTCCTTATTCCTATACTAATAGATTGCTCAAATTGCTATGGTGAAAAGACATCCACACACCAAAGAAGTCATACTAATATGCCTGAAATTGGAGAAAGTAGACTTGTACTCTTGGGATTCTTAAAATGGTGTTATCTCCTAGAAGAACATTTTGCACTGCCCTCCTTGAGAATGTTAATTGTTGTAACCTGTAATATCTGGGGGCAGCTGGAAAGAGAACAATTCTATAGGTCATGATTTATTCTTACTTGAACCCAAACAGAGCAGAAAAAAGGGTAACTATCCATTGAGCTGTGTGATTCACTTCTAAATAGTGTATTGTTCTTTTTTCTTTCCTTGTGTTGATACAAAACTTTATTTAGTGCCTATTTTGTTTAGCTCATTGATCTCTGGTTTGTATGAAGTGTCAGAAAGTCTGAAACTTGATATATCCATCAGAAGCTAAAGTTATTGCTTGAAGTACTGTAACATTGAGGGGTCCTGGCACAACGAGGCCCTCCAATAAATATTTTAGCTCTAGGCTGGGTGCAAAAGGACACTCACCCTCCGTAAATATCCACACAGCTTCCCCATTGTTGTGCTCTCATCCATGTTGTTGTGCCATCGAGGCAAGGGAAGTCAGCTCAGATTGGTGTGAGTGGTAATCTGTAAGGAGGGTGGCGAATATTTCCTTTTCTGTTGCTCTTGTGAGTAGGAAGTACCAAATTCCTGCTCATTGGCATGACTTTAAGCTTTGGATAATTATATCAGTCATTGGATTAGAACAATCTTGGAAAAGATTATCAGATGTTCAATGTGCTCAGATGAAAAACTAAATTGACTAGCACAAATGGTATCGTTCTTTTGCGTTTTTGCTCTTTTTTTCCCTAGGGTTTGGGGGGCTTTTGAGGTAGGCAAACTGATCCCCAAAGGTTCATGGAAACTTTAATTCCATTTAACATTTATTGCCAAAAGTTCTCGAATATCTGATGTATCTGCAAGGGACTGATTTCCTTGTATATTTTTTTATCTCTGGGAGACCAGCTAGGTTCAATTTTTTTCCTACTTTCTTTTAGTGTAGTTTCCTTATGTTCGGATTTCACAGGATATGGTGCCTCCAAAAGATCCCTATATCAAAGTGAGGGTCCTCGATGACATTGGTAATGTTGTCCTGAGCGACCAATTAGCGAACCTTGCTCGTCATGCAATTCTTTTCATTAGACGAACTGATGCAGAGCAGTACATTTCTCAGGTGATTTTCCTTTACAACACAGGATTGTGTTGGAAATTAATGCATTCACCTTTTTCTCATACTTCACCTGTTGGCTTGAATGACAGGGTTTAATGGAAGAACTCACAAGTTGATTCCAAGTATTATGTTACAAGCTGATTCTGATTATGCATTGCTTCTAACAAAACCAGCAGCGGTAGGGCGACTGCTATCTGGAGGTTGAAGGTGAATGTTAGCTAATTCAAAGACGAGCAATCAAGTTTGAGAAGGCATTGGAGAATTGAAGGGAATTGTTGATTCATAATCATCCATGCGTCTGATATAAAAGAGGGTTTTTGATTTTAAGTGGCATCTAAACCAGAATATTGTAATTTAGACTTCAACATAGTTGATAAATTCACAAATATGTGGGAAAATACTCTGTTCTCAGAACCAATCATGTGTCTCAATTATCATCTGAATACACCTATAACATGTAAACAAGTTAGAATCTTAACATCCATTCATGGTTGCAGTGTTTATGACAAACAGGAATAGCATCCAGATTCCGCATATCCTCACCAACCAAGGAAAACTAGATACACTATTTCTACACTACCTAAGCAGTGGTTTCCTAGACTTCTGTTTTCAAATTGAAGTCAGATTTCGAGTATATCAAAATGGTCCAAGAACATTGCCAACCAACTGCTATATCAAAAGCACAGTTTCCCTTTTAGTGAAGGACAGAAAGCTGTATTATAACTCACAAAGATTTTTGTTTCTTCATGCTGTATAGGATAGAATGTCAAGAAAAGTATTAACAGCCACAACACTAAGATACAAGTAGCTACCATGTTAACCTGGCTCAGGATAAAATTTCCACAGAACTTTTTATGCTGAACATCCAGACTAACTAGCTGGACGGGCAATTTTTCAAGTAAACAAATGCAAAAGGCACAATCTGATTGTACAGTGTACCATAAGTTTGTATTAGGATGAAACGTGAGATCATGTTAAAACTGAAAAGAGTTCCTCTATCGAAGGTAAAGGACAGTCGCCTGATACTTTGACAAAACTTTCTGTTAGCTCTATTTCCTAGTGATACAGCCTTGGCGGAAACCTCTTATCTTTACTGAAGACAAAATTATCGGAGAAACCTTGCTAAATTGAGTGCAACTTCTGAATTGAATCTTGATTTGACACTTCAGTCTTAGAGAGCTCGACCACCTTAACAGCTTCTTCCACCATAGCTGCCAGAGATGCTGGTGACTTCAACAATGATAAAAGCTCTGAGTTGTCCATTTCTAAGAGCATTCCCGTGACCTTTGCCGCAAGATTGGGCTACAAAAAGCACATAGGTTTCATTAACAAATTAGTTTTGTTAATTCTCAGGGTGACTGGAATCAGAGCATGACCGCTGTCTATTAACAGAAGCCAGAACAGTTCTATACAACCCAGGATAAAGAAGAACACAACGAAATGGCTTCGAAGAGCTCCTTGACAGATCATAACACCAACATCTATAAAGTTGTCAGAGATGGAGCAGGTCCTCTTTCAAGTGTTTATATACCCCCTTGGTTTCTCTATGAAGAACCAAAACAAATGCAACAGCAAATTTATTTTGCACTTGTACACAAAGGTAGGTATTATTTGAAGAGAAAGCAAGAAATAAGTTCACCTTGTGTTGACTAACTAGAGGATAAAGGTGCTCTCCAAGTATCTGTTTCTGCTTCGTAGGAGGAGCAGCTGCAAGCGTGTTACTCAGGTTTTCTGATCCCCAAGAGCAAGATCCTACTTTACTAGTGCCAGAAGAGGATACAACAAATCCTTTTTTCATATCACGCAAACGACCATTTGGTGTATATTTGACCTGCCAAGCTTGCTGCAAAGCATACATAAATTATGGGATTACTAAGCTGTGGATGCTACTATGATCCATCATTCAAAAGAACAATTTGCATTTTCTCAGAATGATTCTCACCTAGGTTAAGGCATGCACCAAAATAGGAACTTGAAGCTCATCAATGTACACAAATTAGTAAATGAACAAAGAAGCACTTAGTTATAGTTGACAACAATTTGAAATATAAGTTCAATTTCTTTTCCATGACAGGATCTTAATCATAAAATTGAGTGAAACAAAGGAATATCTGTTGTATGTTCTCAGCCATCTTTACTCATCCAGATGAATACAGAAGGAGAAATGAGAAATTGCACTAACTACCATGCAGATTCATTAAGCAACCTCAGGTTAATCAATGCACAGTGCTAAGTAATTTAAAGGTGAGATTAGCAATTTTATGTCATACAAGTTAAGAAAACCAAAATATTGCTTGAGTTAAAGATAAAGCAAATATGGGATTAATGACTTATGATACTCCAATACTTGTGGTTACACTTGCAAGAACAATTCAAATCAATGAAACAATTTCCAGCTATAAATCATGGACTTAACACTAGTTAAGGGAAGGCCTAGTTTTTCAAATACATGAACAATGACTTAATAAGATTCAGATAAAAAGATTATATGAAGAACACTAGAAAAGAAAACATAAGTAAGTTCACAAAATTGGTAGTCAAATAAAAGGAAATCTTTATCCTCATCCTAGCAAAAGGATTAATCGTTACAAAAATAGGCATTTGAAGAAATTATCTTTTTCCATTGAGGTAAAGGCAAGTCACACATTTCAAGAGAGGAGTCTTGGAAAACCTTCTTCAACTTGAGCATTCTAAATTGGAATTTTTGAACAACTCTGTTGTGCAGATCAATCAACAAATAGAAACTCAATCAATCAAGATTCCAATTTATGGAAAAGGATAACAAGGAAATTTAACCACCTGGGCATTGCTAGATTGTTTTAATGAAGCCACTGATTGAGTCGATTGCTGCAAATGAGGCACATATGGAACTGGCATATGTCCATTCTTTGTTTCCCTACTCTGCCTATATTGTGAAGTATTTGGAATCTGAAAAACGAGAAGCAACTTCATCATAGGTTTAAACCTGAAATATGCCAATGCATTTAGTACCTCCCTACTACTGCTGAACAGTTCAAGATTCTGTTTATCTAGTTTAGCACTGTATCAATGACTTTTGAACAAAATGATAGGGTTGCCTGAGTATTATGACAATTTGCAGTTTACTAACCAAGGAAATTTGACAAGCAGGTCTAATAGAGTTTGTGAATCCATTAACCATCCAACCGCGCCTCATACTCAGAGGCTGATACAGTAGCCTGGGTCGTGCAGGTACTTGTAGATCATGAAGGGTTTGGTAGTAAAGAGGGGGATATCCACCAGGAAGAAAAGCTGAAGATCCGGTGAGTCCTGCAATGCCTTGTGCATGCTTAAGCTGCAATTGAGCTTGCCTTTCCTCTTTCCTTTGAGCAACAGCCACATACAATGGCTTTTGGCCAAACATAAATCCTGTGAAATGTCTAACAACATCAATATACTTAACAGGACCTTAAGAGAGAATCTTCTAACTTTCAGTACAGAGAATTTTGAGGCAAGACTTCAACAAAACTATCATCTCATCTTGTACAGACTCAACAGGAGCAAGTAGATGCACTAAAAAAGATGAAGCCACCAACTTAATTATATGATAATTAAATTTTAACATTACAAGAATATAAGCCGTCAAACTGATGAGCAGATGAATAATATGAGAGAAAACTAAAGGGAAAACGAAATGGAAAGACACCTGTTAGTTTTCATTCAAGAAATACCTTAATGTTGAGTCCCATAAAATGGCACGCTATAGCAGTAAGGAATTTTGCAGCAGTTCATGAGAGACAATGTTGCTGATGCAAGCATGGCAGGACATAAAGACATCTTGCTGATCACTATGTAATTGACCAAATAATCTAGGCAAGCATGGCAGTGATTTGTCATTAAATTTTACGTTTATTGTTTGCAATTTTCTGGAATAGTTCTAGTTTTCTCCAGGATTTCAGTTTAATAATTAAAAGAACAGAGAATGGAGACTGCCATGATGACCTGTGAGTCTCTGACAGTACCATCCACGAGCTTAGTCAAAGGTTAAACCTTTAGTGCAGAGGCATTAAAAAGAAAGCAAATACCAAAAATCCAGTGTGCATGAAGAGGAAAGAGGGAAAAAGGAACCATAAAAGAAAAAAGAAAAACTAGACTAGAAATTTAACATGATTCAGAAGCCTTGTCTATTGACACGTGCAGCAAACACCATAACTCACCGTATGTGGGGCGGTGAGCCTCAGTTCAACTAGAATAAGCAACCAATAGAGAATCATTAGAATTTAGATTTCTTGCCTGACATGATACCCATATAGTCATTATGAAATCTAAGGCTAAGTCTTGAGGCATTCGACAGAAACTTGCATTTCTGCATTGTACAATATATTTCTGCATTGAAATTCCACAGAGTTCTAATCCTTCAACCTTGAATTTTATGAGTATATCCATATTGGAAAAGTCATTCAGCGACTTGTTCACACTGCAATGCTTCTTCGTTATTTACCCTTTTTTATAAAGTTAGAAAACAGCATAAATTGTTTACAGATTTATTTAAGCTGGGATATCTGTGCTCAAAAGCGTCATAAGAGAGAAGTGAAAGGTGGTTATATAGCACCAAAATTTATTCTATGTGCTAGCTCATGTGAAACAACGTTCAGTCCCTTGGTATTCATCGCGATCTTGACCGTGTAAAAAGATATACTCCGACTTACCATGAAAACTATTCACCGCTTTGTTGGCCTCCTCTGGTGTAGAAAAACATACAAATCCAAAGCCTTTGCTGACTCCTTTCTCATCTAGCATAAGTTTTGCAGAAGTGATGTTGCCACATTGACTAAACAATTCACGCAACTCATTATCCGTGACATCGCCATCAATATTTTTGACGTACACATTTGAACCCTATGACAACATCAATTGTGATAAAAAAAGTGGATAATAAAATACAGTAACATATATCTTTTGAATAAGGAAATATACCTGGTACTTAATAATTCGTGCCTTCCTTCTCTCCTCAAACAAATGCCTCAATATCTGTTCGCGTTGTGTTTTCTTTTGTGCTCTGGCTACATACAAGATCTTGCAGCCTGCCAAATGCACGCAGGTCATATACAAACTTTTGAACATTGCAGCTGTTAGTTACATTTGAGAATACGATGGCATGACAAAGTCATAACTTACCAAGTTTTGATCCATTCATAGCTTCCATCGCTCTCCTAGCATCATCTGGATTCTCAAAGTTCACATGACCAAAACCTTTTGAAACTCCATTCTCATCTTTTGCAATGGCCAAGCTACTAACTTTCCCAAACTCAGAGCACTTTTCTCTAAGATGCTCTTCTGAGATGTCAAGATCCAAGTTCTTGATAAACAAATTTGTATACTTTTCATCAGGGTTGGGCAGAATCCGGTCACTCTTTTTGGCGAACTTACCTACATACCTATCCATAGATACATGTAAAACATTTGTGTATTTGGACAAAATAAGATAAAAAGCATGCAAGAAAAACAATTGTTTCTATA